ATTGGATCGATATGATCCCAGGATGCTGGATGAGCAGGAGTATGGTGATGATGCTGGTGCTAGGAGGCGTGCTGAGAGGGAACTAAGAGAGAGGGATAGGGGACAAAGTGATTCGATTGTTACCCTACATCATCATCATCATGATCTTGGCCATGCATTTAGGACGTAGAATGCCAGGAGCGGTGTTTGGTGGGGATAGTTCGGATAGTGAGGATGATGATGATCGTATGGGGGCCTATGAGAGGAAGAGGCGTAGATTAGAGAGGTTGAGGAGAGCTGCACAGGCAGAGGTGGGGGATATGGAAACCACTGGTCCAGTGTTAGTCGTGAATAATAGGATGACGATGCTGCTATGGACGAGGAGTTCGATGCCGATCTTATCGATCTTAATAATGAGGAGGTTGGACCGGACACTGACCTCTCTCCGTAATGATGCCCACTATTCGTGTATCTGAGTGCTATATGCCAGGGATTCACGTTTGGGCAAGAAGATTATTGCCAACTTCAGCAAGTTCTTACAGACATTCATCGACCCAACAGAGGATGCCAATGAACCCTATTATTCTGAGAAGGTAGGTTTATCAGTCTCCGATCAAGAAGAGGCATTAGCAGTCGTGATAGTTCTCATACCTATTCTTAGATTCATCATATGTGTGCCGAGGGGAAGACATCCTTCACAGTATCCTTCCATCCTCACCTGGCTGATTGGTAGTGATCCCCATCTAGTAGTGGTCTTGTAGGTAGTAAGTAACCTTAGGTCGCCTTTCATGGCACAGTGGCTGTGTGATCGTCCCCATCATATACTCAAGCTGCTGCTTGTATCGGCTACTGAGTTCACTAAAAAGAAATATAAGGAGCTGTAACACATCCTCCATCGTGTATGGGCTAATTATGAGGATTGATGTCAGGTTCGCCAATGACCGTCATCGAGAGATCAACGTACGCATAGTCAGCTTCCCAGTTGTTGATCTGATAAGGAATCTTCGGGCATTCCATATCAATAAGCTAGTCAATGTTGTTGGTAATGATGATGAGGATGGTTGTAGTGGTGGCGGCGGTGATATCAATGGAGCATCGCTTTTACACAATCATTCGTGAGCAACTGTTGTCATCAGGTGTTGTGACCCGTCGTTCTGTGCTACTACCTAAACTACGCGTACTCTACCTCACCTGTATGAACTGTCAGTTCCTCTGTGGACCTTTTGACCTTTCTGCCAGCGAAGAGAGTAACCCGAACATATGTATACTCAATATCCTTATACCCAATTCTCAGGTGGAACTAGCTTCAGGCCGGGCCATTGCCCAGAGTGTCAGAATACTGGACCGTATGCTGTCAATCGTGAGGAGACTGTGTACAAGAATCATCAGGTCATGAAGCTCGGATCGAAACCCGTCCTTATCTGAGGATTACTTTTGCAGGTTATCACACTACAGGAGGCACCTGGATCGGTACTACCTGGTCGTATGCCAAGGAGTGTTGAAGTTATCCTCAGTGATGATTTGGTCGATAGTGTTAGGCCTGGTGATCAGTGCTCTATTGTCGGAACCTATCATGCTAGGTCTGATACATCTTCGCCTGTTACCTCCATCATCATTCCTATTAGGTATGACAGTGCAGGTAACGTGAGAGCAGGGTTCCCAGTATTCAAGTGTGCTATTGATGCTAATTCCATAGTAAGGCAGAATGAGATGAAGATAGAGAGTGTCAGAGATGAGGATAAGAGAGAGTACGTTCACTACTTCTCCCCTCTCGACACTGTCACTGTTGCTATTCAGAATATTCGCGTTATCGAAGGATCCCCATGTCAGGGAGCGAATCATTGCTTCAATTGCCCCATCTGTCTATGGTATAAACCCTCCTGCCAACATATACTCTATACGTAACCCACTCAGGTGCTACTACAGTGAAGACAGCTTTGGCTATGGCCCTCTTTGGTGGAAGGGAGAAAGTAGCGCAGGGTAGACATAGGATAAGAGGGGATATCAATGTGGGTCTTACTCGAGATATATGGGAACATACTTATCGCTTCTATTAGGTCCTGATCCTCGGTGATCCAGTAAGCAATTGAGCATAAACGATTAGGTGACTTTGTCCTCATGTTTAGGGGCTTGCCAAGTCACAATGCCTTAAATTCGTCAATAAGCTCTTCCAGCGTTCAGTGTGAGTTGCAGCAGTTCCTCTCTAGATCCCAGTTACATTTAGCCATCGTCTGCAGGTACACCACGGGTAAGGGAGCTAGTGCCGTTGGTTTGACGGCATCAGTTCGTAAAGACTATCAAACTGGAGAGTACACGCTTGAGGGTGGAGCTTTGGTATGATATCAGCGGCGATACCCTACTCGTAAGGATGTTGTCGCCACTGGGTGGCAGGTATTGGCTGATAGTGGTATTTGCCTGATCGATGAGTTTGATAAGATGAATGATGCTGATCGTACCTCCATCCATGAGGCTATGGAGCAGCAGAGCATATCTATATCTAAAGCGGGTATTGTGGCATCCCTCTCAGCCAAGTGCTCAGTCGTAGCAGCTGCCAACCCTGTCGGAGGTCAGTTGTACTGTTGACCTCCTCCTATGCATATGTACTCTCGGCAGGTCGATACAACCCTAGTCTTACCTTCACTGACAATGTAGATCTCACGGACCCCATCTTATCCCGTTTCGATGCTCTATGTGTGATACGAGATGAGATAGATATATTCCAAGATGAGCGTCTGGCCGACTTTGTCGTCTGTACCCATATGCAAAACCATCCCCGTGAGCCCAACGACAACGTGAGGCCTCGGAACCAGGAGACGGAAGCGCTATACGAACCCATCGATCAAGACCTTCTGAGGAAATATATTCTCTATGCAAGGTAGGGACATTCTTCATGTTGTCATCTATTAGTGCTGAGCTGCTGATGCTGCTGCCCTCTAGGACGAGTGTATTCCCCAAGATATCGGATGTGGATGCAGACAAGTTGGCCAACTTCTACAAGGAAATCAGATCAGCTGCCTCTGATAGTCACGGGCTTCCCATGACGGTAGATACAATCCCTGCCATGGATGGATGACGACGATGGCTATGTATCCCCTTGCCAGGTCAGGCATATAGAGTCGATGATCCGTATGGCTGAGGCAAGTGCTAAGATGGAGCTTAGAGACTATGTCACCAGTAAGGACATTGATCATGCCATAGCCACTATGCTGGTAGTGCACCAATCTACCTGCTAGTGCTAGATCGGCGACACTCTCTTCAGAGTTCCTTCATTATGACGCAGAAGCATGCTGTTGCCGAGAGGCTCCGTCGGAGGTTCGAAGCCAAATACATCTCGAGTGTAGCAGATCATAATGAACTACTTCACTTCATGCTTAGGAAAATGTTCAAGTACTCTATCAACTACCTTGCTAGCCTTTTTGTTATCACCTTTCCTCTACCAGACAACAGATGGATTTGGTCTTGCTCACGACTGGTATTGGTAGAGATGCAGCAGATGTTGACGATGCGGACATACCCGAGATAACAATTGATAAGGCAGCTTTCATTGTGAGGGGGCTTCTGTCCCCCCTCTTCAGTACTCGCTATTCCCTTTCAGCATGAGGCTCAACAAGCTGATTTGAGGAACGTTCGAGAGTATATGGAATCGGCCCTGTTCGCTGAGGTCTTCACTCTTGGCGAGGACGGCAAGACTATAAGGCGGAAGGCTGTCGCTGCTGCAGCCTAGACAGGGATACCATTATGCATGACATTAACTACTAATTTGAGTATTCACAGTTTCGACCTCCTCTCTAGGAGATCATAACGACATCTCCATGACCTGATTCGACTGCCATTGAGTTATCGGTTCCTATAGCGGTTCTGTCTGCACTGTGTCTCATTGTACTCATTCGTAGCTCTTTTTTGGATCGATTGTTGCCGTACATCATGCCTCGAGACTGGCAGCAACAACCGCAGCAGGGTGAGGATGACAAGAAAGGTATGCTTAGGTGGTGTTACTTTTGACGCGCCTCTGAGCTCTGTGCTCAGACTTGTGTTGGTTTCAGGAGGATACGATGGTGGGCAGCAATCCAAGGGCTGGGATGATAACTCGGGGAAGAACTGGAAGGGTGCCTCACGTGGATGGAATAAGGGCAGCGGCGCCAGCGGAGGTGATTGGAAATCCAACAACAGGCAGGACAGTTGGGTAGGCTTGCATACGTCGTAAGAGCACCGATCACCTCGCTTAGAAGGATAATGACAAGTCATGGGAGGATAACGACAAATCCAATTGGCGCGGCGGTGGCGGCGGGAATAGAAGTAGTGGTTGGAAATCCTCCCCTGAGGCGGAGGGGTCTAAGTCTAAATCATGGCAAGACTCCGGTGATTATGGCAACAAATCTTGGAAATCTCGAGATGGGTCCAAATGGGGTTCGTCCGAGGCAGCAGGAGGGGATAGTCGGTGGAAGGAGGGAGAGCAGAGTAATGGTGAGCACGAAGGTATCGAACAGTTCGCGGTTGTAGTGCTGTCTAGTAGGTGAGGAGCCTGAAGCCTGGAAGGATACCAGGAAGGAGAATTGGAGAGGAGGTGGAGGCTGGGAAGATGAGAGGAGAGGCGCGAAGAACTGGGAGGATGATAGGAACAAAGACGTTGACAATGGCACTGGGAAGGAAGACCCTTGGAAGCAACATGACTCTGGTGAGGGGTGCTTCTACTCCAGCGTCGATCTTATCATGGTTTGAGGGTGTAGTCCTTAGGATATATAGATGGGGACAAGGAAGATGGACAAGAGCTCGATTCCGGCGACTACGATGATGATGTTGATGATGAAGATGCTGCTATTGCTGATATGGAGTGAGTTCATCATCCTACATGAAGTTTGCGGGTATATAGGCTTGTAGATACTCGGACGATTGGACTCAAACCCTGGTTTGGGTGAGGAATGCTGTTGCCGGTCAACTCGAGTTTACAATTGGGGATATACCCGAATTCGATAGTGAGTATCATTACCCATCCTCCACTGATGGAGCGTCTCTCTATCAGATTCAATTGATACATCATCACTCTGGACCTTTACTGTGTATCGCAATAGAGGTATGCTATTACCACTACCCTTTATACCAGTATCTACACCTACCTTCAGTACCGGGATCGAGGCCGTTGAAGATACCTGTTGTGTCTGGAGAGATGGAGGAGCTAGTATTCGCCCCTCGTCTGGAGGCTAAGGATGATGATGACGTATGGAAGAGGGTCACAGATGAAGGCAAAGTCGAGATGGTGAAAGTATTGAGGGAGCCTTAACATAGAGTGTAGACTTGATATTGTTCATCATCTCTCAGATGTGCATGGGGAAGGATAGGAACGATGTTCTAGTGTTGGAGCATCCAACAGCTGATAATGACTATAGGGATCCCGATCCTACTACTCTCCGCTCGCCAAAGGAGTTCTGGACTCTGGGTATGGTCAATACCCGACGCTCACTATATATACTGATGATCATTACTAGTTACGGACATACCAACTCGTAAGATGTGTGTGACCCAGGGTGACAGAGTGCTGTACTTCGACTCGTGGTCACAGCTAGACACTCCCTATATATCAGCAACTTATGCAACTAAGCAGGTGGGTGGTGATCCTCTCCGCAATGGGGCATGTTGGGCATATGTTCAGGATCGAGGATCAGTCCTGTTGGGTGACTCTACTGACCGTAGTTGGGAAGGCTTCTCTGTTGGAGTTAAATTGAGTAATCCTGAACCACGTAGCAATGCTGGAGACTGGGTAACCCAAGCTCCTTCCCAATCACTCTGTATCCTTATAGCTGGTAGGGTGGTGAGGTCGATGCAGAGCACGGCAAGAAGAGTAACGAAACACATGGCCAACCTCATTGGTTCAACATCTCACTTAATAGTAGCGTACTCCTCGTAATTCGCTCATCAATAGTCGTTTTCAGGGGGTAAATTAAATATTTGGGTTCCCAGTGGACCGATCGAAGAAACGGATGAGAAGGTGGTGTAATCTGACGGCATATAGCCCGATTATCACTCTCGACTCAGATCCTCGTGTTTGAACACTACAGGAAAGAGTCAACATGGATCATACCCGAGGCATGGCTCCGTACTGGTATTCCTGACGCCGATGTCGATGAGGCTCTGGAATCTAAACAACCCATCAAATCGATGAATGGCTATGTGATAACGCAAGATATGGGCATCGGGAGGAATGGATGTCTTATAGGTGTACGCTCAACACTTTTACGGAACTGTACAGTCTCTGCACAAGCACCATAATCATGCTACTGGGGATGAGGATGATGCTGAACCTATTGTAGCTCCTCCAGAGGTGGCCGAGAAGCCTCCGATCCAGCAGCAGGTTGGCTCATTGATATGATTGAGGCTCGCCTCATCATCACACGTCTTAGATAATGAACACGTCCAAGTCCTTCTGGCATGAGCGTGAAGGCAGAGAGGGACGTCTCCAGCAGCTAAGAGAGAAATGTCAGGTCATGAAGGTAGCTGTACGCATACGGTCCATGAGGGATGACCCCCTCTTGTAGGACTACAACGATAATCTTGCCTCGCAGCTAGAGGAGGCCGAGGGATTGTACAAGGATCTCTTTGAGAAGGTACAGCAGATGAAGGAAAAGATTGGGGTAGGTCGATCCTTTCGAGTCTGGACCGATCGACGGTCAAGTCTTGCTCGAAGCTCTGTAGTTTGAAGCCGCTGGATTAGAGCTCGCTCATCGTCAGGTCACCGATGGCACCGAATCATCTAATTGACTGATTGGCGTGTGAGAATTGAGTAAATGGACAATCTTACTTGAGGGTATTGATTTTAACGAGTTTCTACTATGCAGTTGCTGATGTTGACTTCAAAGTGCTGCTTGGGGGAGGCACTTCTCGCCATCGTTTGCATAGTGCTACTCATCTCACTTTCCCAAACATACTCCATCCCCTCATGAACCCATCAGTTTTTGGCACTATCTACTGCCACATCAAAAGCCTCGATGGCGACTGAGCTTTGATTCGAACATTTAGCATAACAGCAGGGACACATGATACGTATCTATCTCTGACTGAGCTTGGTTACTATGGCTGCGCACTCAATCAACGCATTCGCAGTTCCCACACAGAAACGGGAACCTCTAGATAGTCCTTCGCCAGTGGTTACCTCAACTGGCCTTATGAGTGGAGTGGAGCAGAGTCCACTTCGGCAGTTCATTAGCCTTGGTCTGGGTGGTGTAGACGATGACAACTTCTCTTTCATTGTCCTAGATCGTAGAGCCTTTGTTATTTGGAGAGGCTACAGGCTTATGACATTGTAGTGCTATGACCTGCGACCGATGCAGTGATATGACCGCTGTTTGGGGATGAAACTCTCCGGAGTGGAGTTGATGTTATATCCCTAGGCCTGAGCCCCGATGCAACATCTCAGCGGGTCATGCAGTAGTTGTTACCATAGAAACTGGCAGCAGCGGGGTTTTAGGTGACTATAAAGCGGGGCCGGGACGAAGCGATACGCAAAGCAGGTTTATTTGTAGAGTCGGATCTGGGCGAATATAGGGGGAGAATTGGTGATGAACGATCTGAGTTATTGTTGGGATAATGTACGGGGTAATGGTCATAGAGAGGCGCAGCACCAGTGGTTATATGGTGATGGAGTAGTTTTCACTTCCTGTGCTCGAACGATAATGGATGTTCGATCTCTTCTTGGCCTGAATAGATTGTCCTTGACAATTGGGGTCGCGAGGATGCACCTCGACGTGGATTTCCAACGACATCTGAGGCCGCTGTTCAGCATGGGGTTTGTATTGCTGGGCTCTATATCTCAACGTAGCGACTCAATGTTTCCCATCAGTTTGGTAGTATTGTGTTGCGGCGGTGGAGGGGGATTGGAGATCTCGATGAGGCCCAATGGCCACTGATGTAGTCCTCCTTCAACGATGTCCACAAACACGTTCTCCTGGTTTGAGTACCAGCTACTGGCTCTGACTCTAGGAGGAGGCATGTGTATATCGCTAGTCTTGTTGGAGGCAGCATTAAGAAGGTAGTGGGATAATCGAGGGTGCATTCTTTAATTACTGCCATTGGGTCCAGATACCACATATTGCCATTATTATACAATGGCATATTTACAGTTAAGAAGAGGAGGCTAAACTGTTTTAATATCGATATCACTGATGCCCCGATGGGCAAGGTAGAGGAGCCCGTCCGTATTGTCCGTGGACCCCTCAGATCTCAGAGTATACGTTCTAAGGCTAAGATGAATCTACGCTTGACGATGTGTATAGTACTGTCCTATTTATGGCAGTTTTGTGTTATAGACTACGTCATTGTCACTCGTGGTGGCTTCCCTAGTAGGCCCCGTTGACCTACCATGCATACCTGTATTCTTGTATCCTGTAGGTGATGAGTGTCGCAGAGGGTTTGACTGCTTCTCATCACCTCTCAACTTTGACACCATCTTCACTCGAGATATGGATCCAGTGGATTGTGATCGGGAGGAGGATTTCAATTCTGGTGGTGGGCAGATTATCGTCAACTGCATGAAGTTTGTTGACCCTAACGCTGCTAATTGGCTGATGCATCTAGCTATTTCCCACTCATTATGGTTACTTGTAAGGCTCTCTGATGGTGTGAGCACCATCGAGCTCTCTTCGTTCTAGTTTGCCAAAGCCTTCGAGATTATCGTGTGGATGGCTAGTGGTAACAAAGCCATGACTACGTTCATGTTGGTGCTGCTCTTACTGTGAGAAGTGCCTCTCTGTGAGTGGGTCGGATGAGCAACTCCTATTAGTTACACAATTGCCGCTATTGCATTGTTCTTCGCTGGATTACTATTGGAGTTCACCTCATCATGGATAGGCTTTGTGGTAACTCTATCATTCCCAGCATTCGTAGCCATATGCAGGTGAGCTCACCGCTGGATCCACCGCTATGCTTATGGTATACTCCTCTTCAGACAAACAGCCTTAGCATTACGTGAGCTTCGCCGTGCAGAGATAGCAAGACTACGAACGTCAGTGGGGACTGACTTCGGCTCGGCGGTGGAAGCTTGGACGGCGGCGGCAGCTCAAGATGGAAGTCATGCTCTTCAGCGCGAAGTAGTGATCATATGGTTCTGCACAGGCGCCTTCATCGTGGTAGAGTTTCCCTGTTCTAGATCATCATGGATGATACTTTGGAGCAGGGTGCTGAGGGTATGCGTAAGCGAGTGAACAATGCTATGCAACGTATATACAGCCAGGATACTTATGGCTTAACACTGGATATCGGTGCTGTTAATGTCGAAGTGCCTCCACAACAGTCTAAGTTTACTACCCAACGGGTGGATGGTCGGAAGAATGATGTGTACTCTAGTAATGGTAATACTGCTTCGCATCTTGAGTGAATGTTCACCATGTCAATAGCAGCTCTTGTTGTATAACTTGTTACGAACCACGGATCGTCATTATGATGACCATTGCGTTATTAAGTGGTAGTATAGTCTCCTTTGTCTCGGGTCTAGTACCTTCTCATCGTTATCCTGGATGACTCGTGCCTCTGACCACCATGGGCAGAAGCAGCAGCGTCACAGTCGGCGTGGTGGTGGGATTATTCTTGTCGCCCTCGGCATAGTATGCCTCACCCACTTCCAGCGGTTCGTACTCACAGAGGTATCCCACAGTTCTCAAGGAGCGACGATGGCCAACGAAGAGCTCTCCGTGCCAGCCTCAAGTTTGACAGCTTCATCACATACCCCGCACTAATGTGTGTGATATCAGGTACACTACGAGGTGCAGTAATCTCTCCTTCCGCTAGACAGCCGAGGTATGCCCTGCATATCAACCCGACCTGGTTAATAGCCCCTCTCATGGCCGGCCTTATGCTAGTTGGTTTATCTTTGAGGAAAAGGCTCACCCACAAGAAGAGGAAAGCGTTTACAATTGCTATAGATGGTCCAGCAGGAAGTGGGAAGAGTGCGGTAGCCGAGATGCTCGCTAGCAGATTGAGCGGGTAATTCAAAAATGCTTTCTTTCACCAGAGAGCATCCCTCCTGCCAGGTTCACTAAACTCGATAGTGGAGCTCTCTATCGTAGCATTGCTTTATTTGTCGACGAAGGAGACATAAAGGGGGGCATTGAATCATTGGCTAATGAAACTATACGAGCTTTATTGGACCAGATCATCTTCACCGATGATAAGAGGGTGTTTGTTGGTAGTAATGCGTGAAATCGTCGCGCGTTGAGAGCTCTCATTCATTTCACAGGTAATCGTGATATAACAGACGCCATAAGATCACCTCCGATATCAATACTTACGGCCAAGATAGCCCAGATACCTCAAGTTAGAGCTGCCGTTGTGAACTCCTTGAGAACTAGAGCTGATAACTGCAAGGAAGGTGTTGTTATAGAGGGGCGTGATACAGGTGCTCTGAGTGAGAGTGAGAATCATTCTTCGATAGTGATACCTATCACATGTGTTAGGATCGGTAGTATTCCCCGATGCCGAGGTAAAAGTATATCTGGATGCCTCAGCGGAGGAGAGAGCACACCGTCGGCAGAGACAAATAGGTCAGTATAGTCTACTTCTCTTAGTAGACGACGACGACACTCGGATATCATAATCATCCTTCAGGCGGTGATTTTGCCCGTACGTTGGCTGATATTAAGGCGAGAGATCAGGCGGACTTCTCTCGAAAGCTGGATCCCCTTAGAGTTGCCGATGGAGCAGTAAGAGTTGACTACTACTTAACGTTACGTTACTCTTTATCGACGATAGGTTGTCATGGACTCTACGGGTTGGAGTGTAGAGAAGACTGTTGATGAGATATCCAAATTGGTGTACAAGCGACGTCCTCATACTACAATGCGCACTGAGTGATGATATTCTTCATAAGAATATAATTATGTTTCCCATCATAATGTCTTTGGTTGGATATTGACGTTTGGATATAGGCGAACAATTTCAAGGGGGAATTTTGCAGAGAATATGTAATGTCAGAATATCTCATCGATACACGGTTAGTTACCTCGGGGAGAGTATGTGACGGCACAACTTGATAACTGAACATCTTGAGGGATTTCCAAAAGGCATATTGGACACCAAATATGGGGATGCAACATCAATGTCTGCTCAAGTGTGAAAGTTATACATGCGTCGTACTGGGATCGTAGTCCACTTAAGCACATACGGCTATCAATATTATATGTGAGATGGTCACAAGTATATTGAATCACGCAGAAGTACGCAGTTATTTCCCGAAATACAGGCAACGATCACCGACTGCAGTGCGCTGTAAGCTTCCCCACACGTCGCTCACCACCCGCCCCTATACCATCTTTATGTTCTCTGCAACACAAAACACTGAAATTAACCTTGGAAGCCGCCTTGTTGTGTACAAGATCGCCGACTACCGGTCAGAGTGCAAGCAAACTGAAGTGACCACGATAGAAACTTGGCAGCAGGCAAACACCTTCCTCCACAGGTAGTAGCTAGAGATCATCAACACGTAAATATACCAATGAGCGTATAAGAAGTCTTTGCAACTTGACTACTTAATCCTTCCTACGATAGGAAGTGCCCTCAGTGAGACGAGCGCGACCACCAGTAGGCTGACAGAGCATCACGTTGCAGTTACCGCAAAGGACGACAGTCTGAGCGTGCCTGAAATACGACAAAAGTTCATCTATAGCCATCAAATCTAATGCTCAGACGCCGACATCAACGAGCACAAATAGAAAATAGTGCTAGGATGCACTTACACCGGGCCACGGGAAAAGTTACTCTACAAAGGACAAGACCCGATATTACGAGAAGACGGTAGTGATCTGTGAGCAACCAGGGCACTTGACATCCATGAAATAGGAGTTGGGGGATTGTACCAAGCGCTTCAGCTTATGCTTGGACTTCTCAAGTTCGGGATCAGGATGGAGGAGATCGACGTTCATGGCAACAATGTGGCGGGCTACTGCTTCAACAATGACATACTCAACGATCTACAATCATCAACTTTTCCACCCCTATAACCAAGAATGCATAAAACTGTGTCCATCGACACTGAATCATCACCAGAAGCACTGCTATGTGCGGCTTAAGTGGGTGGACGTCAGGCAGCAAAGGGGAAAGGAAGGTAAGAAAATATACTAATCGATTTTCGCTATAGTATTTGCGTCCGCCCTGATGATCGATTTGGCCCATTGTAAGGAGCGTCTTGCTAATTGCTCGTAGCAATTTGCTACCAGTGATGAATCCTTTCTACCTCTTGACACGTCTGATGGGAAGGGAAATGGAGGAGAATCTCAGGCGATTCCTGGTGGACTCACCGGCCTTCCTGTACTTTGCCCATCATTCAAGCAAGAAGGGGACAAACGCTGCAGACAAACTTGGTAGTGCAAGGCTACTCTTGGGTGGATCTAATCCTCGCTTAATCGACATTCGACGTTTTTAATCTCCTACTCAATGCGTATTACTCTCACGAGGCAGTTAAGACTCGTATCTGTGCATTATCTTCCGCCACATCCGTTGGGTATAACATTCGTTGGTCCTTACGATCCAGTGCGGCCTGATCATCAGGCCGCACTCTTAAAGGGTTGGCCGGTGCGGCATCACGTGCTGGTGAACCGTTCACCTGGGAGTGAATCTGAGGGGAGACCTCCGCTGCATAATCCACCGGTTCGTACGAAGCACCCCACTCCCCATGGACAAAGTTGGATAGCCTGGAATAGCAGCTCGTTGTCCTTAACATTGCGCTGGGGGAAGCGGGGACGAATCCGATGGACGAAAACGCTCTTGACAGAATTATATTCAACCCAATTTTCCCCATGGTCATTCGACAGTCTGCTCTTAAGTTGAATTGTCTATGGTTGTCGCATCAGCGTGACTATGAAGGTCGTAGTATGACCTGTTCTCAAAACGTTCAATATCCATGAGTGGAATTAGACTAGTCCCGGAGGGGGTCGAACCCACGACCTATGGCTCATAAGACCATCGCTCTAACCACTGAGCTAGGCGAGGGGGAAAAATGTGCCCGAAGGGGGGGAAAAAGAGGGGAAAAGAGGAAGAAAAAGAAGGAGAGAAGGGAAAAACTAGATGGGCGCGTCAGCGCTCATCTACTCATGAATGATAGTTCTGCAAGGCTACGTAAGAAGGTTGTGATATGCAATCCGCCCTCGACATTACTACATCAACTGATATCCCCACTTACGTCCAATGATTGAATTACCCTACAATAACTCAACAGAAAATCCGTAAAGGAAGGGATCTGCAGGTGCATAGTGAAGTTCACTAAGTGAACGATTATGTGATATTGAGATCTTACCTGAAATGATATATAATAATCAGATAGAAGATTCGAGCTTACTCTGAAGCCTTCCTTCTTTCATTCTTCTTCCGCCATCGCTCTCTCTGCCGCTCTCTCTGAACACTCTCAAGCTCGATGAGTGACTCCACGGTGTCGAGAAGGGGGCACCACTTCTTTTGTGCGTAACCAGACTCGTCCTCTTTTACCACTTTAAACTGCCTATGCCCATAAATCTCCCACTCCTCTCCACGCTGGATCCATACGCTTTACCGCAGCGTGGACAGCGCCTTCCAGGAGCATCAGGATCCAGCACTACCGCCCCCGCCAAGTTAGCTTTGATTTGTACTTCAATCCTCTCCAGACGAGCTACCTCGGCTTCTTTCTTCTCCTTTGCTCCGATATTAACTCCTCTGTCCAGAGGACAGCGCCCATATCTGTTGTTCTCATCATATATATGACTATTGTAACCCTTCCGCAATAGTTCGCCACACGTCTTGCACCTCCTCAGCTGCTTCCGAACTGGCGAATACGATGAGGAGGAATAAGATGAAGACGAGCTGGATGAACTACTCTCGTCACGACTATGGTGTCTCCGATGCCTCTTCCTCCTCCTCCTACTCCTCTTACCCCTCTTCCTCTTACTGCCTTTTTTTTGCCTCTGCCGCTCCAATTCATACTCCAAGTCTTCAACTCCAACCTTACGTGGCCCCGGGTCGAGGCGCGTATCCCCATTGAGAACAACCTCAGCATAGGAAGCCGGTGCAGTAGGCTGTGGCCGAAGAGCGAATTCGAGCTTGTTGAACTGCTCCCGGCTCTCAAGAGTCATGGAGCCATGCTTAGCAGCGAAGTTCATGTCTTTCCTATCCCTCGATAGCCACTGCTCGACTTGCAGTAATGAGATAGGGTGAAGAGCTCGCGGCTGCCGTTGCTCTTGCTTGTGAGCTTCCTTCTCAACGTAGAAGAACTCCTCCATATATTTATGCCGCAGTTCAGCCGCAGATGCTTTGGGGAATTCCAGCCTAAGCTTGCTGAAGATCCTCGACATCTCGGAATTGACCTCGTGCAGAACTGGATAGTTATCAGGTGTAGAGGAGGCAGCTTTCAGTCGAATCCGCTTCGCAAAATCACCACTATTATTTTCTCTAGTAGGCGAGATGAACAATTGAGGAACCTGAGGAACTGTGTGGCCATAGTCGATATCGGATGTCATGCCTACCGCATCGTTATCATCCATCGAGGAATCAGAGCTGCCTTCGTCAGCATCCTTCTCGATCGCCTCCACATCACCCTCTCCATTCTCTAATCCATCGAGCATCTCGAGAAAGCCCGCCACACCCTCAGGTCTATTCTTCTGGGCCTCTTGCAAGTCGACTGGAAGATCATCGAGCGATAAGCAATACTCATATCCAAGCTTCGGTAGTTCGTAGTCCACCGAAGCGAGACGGAAGTCCTCGTAGCACTCTTGAACAACCTTCGAACCGAGAGCCTCCACTGATCGAGGAGTTAGGGATTCATCAGGCACCTTCAAACCAAGCCTCATGCAGGCTCGACGATTATGTCGATGCAGCAACCAGAGTAGTCTTAGGTTGTACAAGTAACAGCTAACACGGTTCGAAGATGCATACGCCTTCGCCATCTGGGAATGAAAATTTTCGCAACCGGAGCTCCCACGAGCGCAGCGATAGGTGTTCAACTTCAGAGTGCTCGATCCTCTGTAAGCAGCCTCTCCCGTCTTCATAGCGTGACCCTGCTCTAGACAATCTGAGAGACATCCTCTGTCTATGTGTCTCCACTGCGTTTCCAGAACAGAGTAGAAACGACTCGTCAATAGGGGAGCGAATCTGGTCCCAGGTGGAGGATTCTCCAACTGCCATCCGCCAGCTCCCGCCTCAACTAGCTTACGTCTATCATCAGATGCTTTCCACTCTTGCAAAGCAGCTGCATCACGTTCAGCATAGACCTCCACCACCGTGGTTATGCGCTCTCTGAGCTCCTTCGGAGGAGGTATCCGTCGAGAGATATACTTAGTGCGCTCGTGCTTGGTAGGTGGTCCCAAAATCCCCAAAGCAGCACGTGCGCTCATCAAAGCATGACAGTCGCTGGAATTCTCGATGAATATGGCCTTTCGCAAGTCGTTCTTGAACTTATTGCAGAGAACATGTTGCTGAACGACTTCTCGATTTAGGCGCTGCTGTAGATGGAAACTATCTAAGCGTACCATCATGCCATCTGGTATTATATCCCTCAATCCAGAGGAGCCACTGAGCTCAGTATCGGCCTGGCTACAACAATTATTATCACAATACAGTAGCTTGGGAGTGTCCACGCCAGCAGCCTCGTGTCGCCGGAAGATTTCATCTAGAGCGGGCTTGATATATCGCACACTGGTAGTGGGAGTGAGATACGACCCCAGTATGATAGAATAGTCGGTCATTATCGTCAAGCTTTGCCCCAGACTGTGAGTCGCGGTACACTTCTTAGCACACTTTCGGGTATGGTCAATGCTGAGACTATGAGTCCCCACATGAGCAGCCAATTCCCGAAGGAGATGATCTCTCTCTAGAGATAAATCTCGCAGGGCAATGCTCAGCACCAGATTCCCCGATATTCCCCAAGGCTTTTGAGGGAGTGATTCCTTTTCTGGTACCGTCAAAAAAGGGCACTTGGTTGACATCTCCCACTTCTCCTCGTATGCACGCAAACGCGAGCTGTATGCCCTCTCCAGTGTCGACGTCAGATAAGTGGCAGCTTGGGAAATACTGCCGTTATTCATCAGGATATTTCGTATATACAAGACCACCTCCATATCCATCCCCTTCCCCCTACCACACAACAGTGGAAGCTTCATTTGGGTAGCCATGTCAAGCGTCTTGACAAATTCTGTATTCCAGGAATACCAAGAGGTTTTGCAAGGAACGCATTCCAATCGGGTACATAAGGCCAGATACGGATAGCCCATACGGTACACCATTTTCACCCTCGATAGCCGTCCAGGATGTCGGATGTCAATACTAGAACAATACGGACATCGTCCTCCTCGAGGCGCCCAAACGACCAAATCATATGCAAAGACCTCGGAAGCTTTCGGAAACGATTGCTTCTCCACGATTCCCTCCCAATTTGGTCTCCAGAACCATTTTAGTACATTAATCTCTCCAACATCAGATAAAGACGTGGGTAGGGAGTTGGGGAATGCATGATCAGCAGCTTGCCGTCCCCCCGTCTCAGAGGCGGACACTTGAACTCCAACATCACAACCGTTCCGTGATCTTGTAGCAGGATCATTGGATTGGAATTCTCCTGAGAAGCATTCGGGTTTCGAGAAGCTATTCGATAAAGTCTGCTACCTTTGCGAGGAAAGTACGGCTGTTCAGTCGGAGGTTGTGGCCGAGATCCCGTGTCACGCTCACTGATGGACGATGATGCACCTAATTAAACTGAGGTCGGGGGAACCCTCCGAATACCTTTGACTACATTTAATATCTCTCGTTTCGACATCAGCAGCTTGACTTTTCGGAGCGAAACGTCCGATGGAGAGAGGGCCACATTGGTTGATTAGCGTTTTTTCGATGATTGATCTTGATATCGGCCTGACGATTGCATTTGGCGAACGCGTGCTACCTGGTACATACGTTATTGCTTGCGCGATAGTCTATGGAAAACTCACCATGAGTGTCACTAGGCGTGGGAGACTGTTCATGGGTGTCCGCAGTGCTAGGCGACGAGTTGGTCGTTTTACTGTCCTTAGCAGCATGACTAGCACCTGCACATGCGGATGAGACGCAGAATGCACCAACGAAATGACCTACGCGAGTTAAAGAAATTGAGTATTGTACTCTGTGGCCGTTCCGCTAGATCTTTCTCGATTCGCTCCTTAGCTTTCCTCACTATTTCGGGGAGTTTCCCCGACCGACCCAGACTTGGCCAAGCACCTGTGCGTCGATACCGCTCTAGAGCCTGACGATAAACCGCCATGCTCGGATGGTCGAGGGAGTGCCCGATCTTCTTGTGGGACGGACGAGGAGGCATGAGGGCAGACCAACCCTACCACGGAAGTTAAGATCTGTCACCAGGATAGAATACCTGCGCAGTTATTACGGAAAGACAAGAGTACAAGGGAACCGCGGCCCTAAAAATCGTGCGGCTTGGGTGCGGGGTTAGGTACCAGGTGACACTTGAAAGTCCGCGAAGAGAGGGCGTTCAAGCACTATAAGTTCCGAGGGCTACAGCCTTCAGGGCGTTCTCGCCTCCCTGAGCCTGCAGAATCAGTCAGCTCTCGATTTCGGGGCCCTGAAGGGGCAGCCGCGCACGCCTACCCCGGACCTAACCTCACCCCGGACCTAAAACTGGTGCGTAGTCTGCTCGAACCATCTGAGCTACAGGACCGTGAAAACCCAGGCTTGGGAATCTTTCATGGTTAAGATGTGTTGATACCTCGACTAAAGCGTGCGTTCTACGGTATCACTTCACACCATACGACAACCGCCCAGTCCTGGCACAGGCTGACCGCATGACCTATGATCACCCGCATTTACAAACCCCAGCTCATCGTCGCGTCCATCGCCTTTGAACAACCACCGCCTGACGCGAACACTAACCTATGCATGACTAACTCTGCTCCGCCCGGGGTCTAGCTGGCACACCCGTTGAACTTGCCAACAACTTCTCTCTCAAAATTCCACAACAATATCTCACCGCCATGATCCAAGGAGTTATCCGCGAGGTGTGGTAATATAGGGGCGGATGGTTCCGCACAAGTGAACATGAAGAGAGGCGTGTCACCGTGTTGCGCATTCAGAATGACGAGGATGCCGGCTCTCAGATGTCCCTGGCTCTGTCCTTGGATTGGGACTTGGATTTTGGGAGCTGGTGATACCAGCGTAAACACAGAGTAAACCTACATATGATTTTTTGAAATGGATTCAGTAGTGTCACCTATCACCCTTATGTAGAGCACTTGCCTAGCGGTTGAGCCTAAAAACTAACAATCTAGACACTTTGGCCGAGTGGTTAAGGCGGCGGCCTGCTAAGCCGTTGGGCTCTGCCCGCGGGAGTTCGAATCTCCCAGGTGTCGTTGCAAGGGCTCAACATTGCGTCTCGCGGCTTTTGTGGAGCATACACATTAAGCGGATGAAGCCGAGAACTCACATGAAACGATAAAGATCGAGATACTTTGGCCGAGTGGTTAAGGCGGTGGGCCGTCAAGCCGCTGGGTTTCACCCGCGGAAGTTCGGATCTTCCTGGTGCATAATCCACCGGTTCGTACGAAGCACCCCACTCCCCATGGACAAAGTTGGATAGCCTGGAATAGCAGCTCGTTGTCCTTAACATTGCGCTGGGGGAAGCGGGGACGAATCCGATGGACGAAAACGCTCTTGACAGAATTATGTTCAACCCAATTTTCCCCATGGTCATTCGACAGTCTGCTCTTAAGTTGAATTGTCTATGGTTGTCGCATCAGCGTGACTATGAAGGTCGTAGTATGACCTGTTCTCAAAACGTTCAATATCCATGAGTGGAATTAGACTAGTCCCGGAGGGGGTCGAACCCACGACCTATGGCTCATAAGACCATCGCTCTAACCACTGAGCTACAGGACCGTGAAAACCCAGGCTTGGGAATCTTTCATGGTTAAGATGTGTTGATACCTCGACTAAAGCGTGCGTTCTACGGTATCACTTCACACCATACGACAACCGCCCAGTCCTGGCACAGGCTGACCGCATGACCTATGATCACCCGCATTTACAAACCCCAGCTCATCGTCGCGTCCATCGCCTTTGAACAACCACCGCCTGACGCGAACACTAACCTATGCATGACTAACTCTGCTCCGCCCGGGGTCTAGCTGGCACACCCGTTGAACTTGCCAACAACTTCTCTCTCAAAATTCCACAACAATATCTCACCGCCATGATCCAAGGAGTTATCCGCGAGGTGTGGTAATATAGGGGCGGATGGTTCCGCACAAGTGAACATGAAGAGAGGCGTGTCACCGTGTTGCGCATTCAGAATGACGAGGATGCCGGCTCTCAGATGTCCCTGGCTCTGTCCTTGGATTGGGACTTGGATTTTGGGAGCTGGTGATACCAGCGTAAACACAGAGTAAACCTACATATGATTTTTTGAAATGGATTCAGTAGTGTCACCTATCACCCTTATGTAGAGCACTTGCCTAGCGGTTGAGCCTAAAAACTAACAATCTAGACACTTTGGCCGAGTGGTTAAGGCGGCGGCCTGCTAAGCCGTTGGGCTCTGCCCGCGGGAGTTCGAATCTCCCAGGTGTCGTTGCAAGGGCTCAACATTGCGTCTCGCGGCTTTTGTGGAGCATACACATTAAGCGGATGAAGCCGAGAACTCACATGAAACGATAAAGATCGAGATACTTTGGCCGAGTGGTTAAGGCGGTGGGCCGTCAAGCCGCTGGGTTTCACCCGCGGAAGTTCGGATCTTCCTGGTGCATAATCCACCGGTTCGTACGAAGCACCCCACTCCCCATGGACAAAGTTGGATAGCCTGGAATAGCAGCTCGTTGTCCTTAACATTGCGCTGGGGGAAGCGGGGACGAATCCGATGGACGAAAACGCTCTTGACAGAATTATGTTCAACCCAATTTTCCCCATGGTCATTCG